ATGAAATTTTAGAATTCCTCCAGCTTCTGGGTCTGCAGGGGTACCCATAATATAACCATGGACAGGAAAGTACTTTTGCAGATGTTTTCACTTAACTATTACCTACTTATTTAAAAAAACAAAAACACTGGTTTTAGGTCTAGGGTTTGTGTATCAGTATAAAAGCTTTCAGTTACATTCCGGGTTATATGCCTATGTTTTCAGAGAACGTCATTCAGCCTTTCAGTACTTGACTTCCTGCTGTGGTTTGAATGTGTCTCCCAAAATTTGTATATTGGAAACTTATTCTTCAATGCGGCAGTATCCAGACGTGTGGAGACTTTAAGAGGTGATTAGGTAATTAGGGCTCAGCTGGATTAATGTCTTTATTGCAGAAAGGAGTCTGTCCTTGTCAGAGATAATCTTTTCACAACACAGAGAGCTCAGCCCGCTCCTGCTTCTCACTCTGCCCTGGGATGGTACAGCACAGGCCCGTTGTCAGGTGCTGTGTCACCACTGCAGCTGGCAGAACAGGCACTTAGGCTCATTTCTTGGAGGCACAAAGTTTTAGAATGTCCATTACTTTACACCTGCAGCTTCCAAAGAGCGCAGAAATGAGGACTCTGCAGCCCATTCCCCTCCAGCGTCTCCTCACCCCATGTCACCAGGAGCGGAGCGATCATATCAAGTTCGTCCTTGTACTTGTCACAGCACACGTCATTTTGTTGTTGTGACATCCTGTCCCACCACTGTTGCTGCAGCCGCAGCAGAGGGATGGGAATGGAGACACACGGCCCACGCCTCTGTAACCACGGCCTTCACATCATGCGATGCCCTGTTAAATAATGAATCAGTTTCTTACGTTGCTGAAGCAACTCCAGAGCACTGTGGCGGGTGAAAACTTCTAAATAATTCATTCTAGTATAGTTTACATTGAGGATAAAGAGATTTAAGGGTCTTTTCTTTCACAGCCTCAAGACTTATTTCTCTTTCTTCAGGACACATACAGCTAGGTTTGGGCATGCGGAAAGCAGTTACAAAAGTACTTCTCCAGAAATGCATTTCTGACTTAAAAGTATAATTCTGACCAAACTTAACTTTGATAAAGCACCACCTCTAACTTAAACTGAATCAAACCATCTAAAATACTGAGCAGTGGTGTCCTGGAGATGTACTTATAGGTCATGTTATTATTTAATCTTAAAGATATGGAAACCATGTAAGCACAAGTTAATTGTGATAGAACTATCAATTAGTCTTTTCTACCATTGCATGAAGAAATCAAGCGAACTAATAAATGAAAAGTAAAAAATAAACATGATTTTTACTGTGTGGAATATTTTAATTTTGAAGAGTGATTTATGAAACAGTATTATTAGTCACATGAAAATTACTTAGATAAATTGTATTTCAAATTTTTCTAACTCAGAAAGTATACCTAAAAATAAAAAACACGAAACATTGAATTAGACACATACATATAAAACAGGCAAAGATGATCATCTCAAAAGTAGTTTGAGTTATGTACAGAAAAATACTGAATTTCGTAGTGTGACCCAGAAGCAGTTCCCCCATTGCTTTGATAAAATCCTTTGAGATTTAGGCATGTTTGAGTATAAGCAAATATTACAATTTAGAATCATACATGAATTATTATATAGGAAGACTGTTTTTATCTTAGGTTTTTTAAAAAAGTTTTCAATTCCTAGCACATCAACTGTTAAACCTGATTTTACCAAGATTAAGCACCACCTTTAGGTTATCCAGCAAGTACTTAAAATTTCATGGGTCTGGGCCTGGCGTGGTGGCTCACACCTGTAATCCCAGCACTCTGGGAGGCTGAGGTGGGTGGACTGCCTGAGCTCACAGGCTGAGCAAGAGAGACCAGCCTGAGTAAGAATGAGACTCTCCATCTCTAAAAATAGCCAGGCGTTGTGGCAGGTGCCTATGGTCCCAGCTACTTGGGAGGCTGAGGAAAGAGATTCGCTTGAACCCAAGAGTTTGAGGTTGCTGTGAGCTGTGATGCCACCACACTCTTACCAAGGGTGACAAAGTGAGATTCTGTCTCAAAAACAAAACAAACAAAAAAGACATTTCATAGGACTGTCAAGCTTAAACCAAATTTCACCTTATAATAGTCCAGTATACAATATAATGGCTTAGGGAGTCAACGAAGCTTTATACTGCAATGTGAATCTCCTTTCTAAAATTACATTAAAGAGGATAAATGTCTTAGGATAATGCCCAAACTATCTTTTTAAAAGCTACATGCTTCCAAAGCCAACTGGTGTTTAAAAACAATAAATAAAAATATCTTATTCATTAAGTAAACATTTACTTATGTCTACTAAGAAATATTACACTAAATACGATTCTTCCCCATGAAAATTAAAATGAATACAAAAAATTACAATTTAGTAAATGACATGACATAAATAAATACAGGAAAACAGAGGTGTTCAGTAAGATAACTAGAAAAGGCTTCCCTAGAGATCATTATTAAATCAACTAATGACATTTTCCTTGTAGGAATTACACACAAGAAAGAATTAAGTAAGAGATTCAGCCAATATACTTTAAGAGGAAGGCTGCACTGGGGAATTAAGATAAATTTAGAGAAGATAGTAAACCCAACTGACATTAATTTTACATTCAACATAACAGGAAAAACAACATATTATAAACACATACTTGGAGAACAGAAGGGTAGCATAAAGAAAATGCTAATTCATGAAGATACTTCTTTCATGCCTATATGTAGGATAAACTGTAATAATGGAAACAAAACCAGAAAAACTGGCTCAGCACCTATAGCTCAGCAGTTAAGGCACCAGCCACATATACCAGTTGGACTGGTGGGCTTGAACCTGGCCCAGGCCTACTAAACAATGACAACTGCAAAAAAAGCTGGACATTGTGGCCGGTGCCTGTGGTCCCAGCTACTTGGGAGGCTGAGGCAAGAGAAGCGCTTAAGCCCAAGAGTCTAAGGTTGCTGTGAGCTGTGACACCAGGACAACATTGAGACTCTGTGTCAAAAAAAAAAAAAAAGAAAAGAAAAACTGTGGTGCAGTTACCCAAACGTGAGGTTATCAAGGTCTGTGTTAATGTGGTTGATGAAGACTTCACACAGCCAGTTAACAGGCTGGGCCATTACAGGAAAATTCCATCACTGGTGCCTCCTTGGAGATGCCAGCAAACATGGCAGGGCTACAGCACAGGGCAGCTCAAGAAGGCCCCATGGCCCTGATGTCAACACAACAGGAATTCTGTTACTTCCATGGGGCACCATTCACCTGTCCCAAACTGAGTAAGAGGAGTAAAATTTCCAACTATTGACCCAAAGTGGATTATCTAGATTTTGAATCCAATTTGATATAATACAGAAAACAAAGTTCAATTATAAATTCAAAAACATATTTTTAAGATATTAGTGCTATACTTTTTCTTATTAACCTTTGTGATTATTATTCTGAAGTGGGAACTAATCCTTATAGGTGAACAGGAATCAAAAGGATTTTGATATCCTTGATGCGCACGTAGTCAAGGCATAATCCAGGCGTCCTCAAACTGAGGCCCACAGATGATATTTACCCGGCCCGCCAGGTGTTTTTGCCGCTGCTGCCTGTCCTGCTTAGCAGCTAACTTGTCCTGGGGCCCGCAGTCCAGCCCTCCAGCGGTCTGAGGGACAGTGAACTGGCCCCTGTTTAAAAAGTTTGAGGACCCCTGCATAATCACTCTTGCTTAGAGACCGCCCGTGCTGAGCACCCACTCAACACAGCAGCTGCTCCCTCACCTGTCTCCCACCTCAATTCCCAGGTGTCCCAAATTCAGCCTATTTAATTCTTTCTCCCCTTTTCATCTCTCAGCTACTTACAATACAGAATCACTTAGGGCCTCTAACATCTTAACACTCGCCCTGGACTTACAGAAAATCAAACAAGTTATACAACTCACATGGTCCTTAAGTGTCAAACCATAATTTGGTCATAAATTACAGCAGGCAGGTAACACGTGAAAGTCATCAATTGTCCTGTCACATCAAGTCTTACCTTTGTTCTGCCAAAAATAGGCCCCCAACCCGCAGAATAACAAAAGGGGGGAAACAAACTAGCAATTAAATTTATTTTGAAGAAAAAAATAATTAGGAACTATTTTAAATTCCATAAGGCTGTATGACAAAAAATACTAAATGATCAATGATCAATTTGTAAAAGATGACCATCTCTGGGCGGCACCTGTGACTCAAGGAGTAGGGCGCCGGCCCCATAAGCCCAGGGTGGTGGGTTCAAGCCTGACCCTGGCCAAAACTGCAAAAAAAAAGATGACCATCTCCACAAAATAAAAAAGAGCTCACACTAACTCTAATGTATTAAATAAATCACAAATCTTTAAGCCAGACACAGTCTGAGCAAGCCACCAGCAGCGCACCAGGGGGAAAGAGCCAGGTCTGGGTCTTAATGAAAAGGGACCAAAATGACTCCACGGATCTCTGCACTGACTGATGGCATGTTCGGTGTACTGGACAAATGGGAAAGGTGAAAAGCTCACAGATACACACAACCGGCACAATCCAGAGACAACCGGTTGGGACGCGACAGTGTGCCGCTTAGTATCTAGAGGCAAAGTGACAGACACCGAGGTGTTTTCATCTCAGACCCTGGGTGGTCCCACCACACTGCCTGTGGAGGGAAAGGGGCGTCTGGACAGCGTGAAAAGAGGACAGGTCTGAACAAGTCTTTTTAACCTCCAGAAAGCCAGTTGAAAAAAAAGAAAAGAAACAAGAAAGGAAAGCTTTCACCCACGGTCCCATGTCCAGGACAGGACTCTTCTACCAGGCCACACAAAGCGTCCAAGGCAGAGCCGACCCGCATTCCCAGACTCATAACCGTGTCACCCCAGAAACCAAGAGGTCCCGGGTCTCCAGGTGGTGCGGAGCACCGGGCACACTGCCATCCAGGCCGGACCAGCAGGGCCTCGCCGGTGCTCAGCCGCCCGCATCACGGTCACACTGTGCGCAGCCGGAGCGGGCAGTCGGGGCGGCCCAGCACCGAGGCGCTCCCTCCATGCCGGGGACACTAGCTCTGGCCGGCTCCCAATTTTGGAGATGAACGGCCACAAAGTGCGATAAACAGGTCACACCTCTCCTCTGCAGATCGAACCGGGGCGCCGGTGCACGTGTACGGCCGCCGGCACCGCCCTGCAGTCCCCTCGGGCACAGACCGGCCGGGGCCCCTCCGTGCTGCCCGCACCAGGCCCCGCGGCCATGGCCGCCCCCGGGAACCGTCGGGGGAGGCGACGGCGGAGCGGCGAGGCCGTGTCGCAGGACCCGCGCGCGGCACCTGCCCGGCCCCCGCGGGCTTACCTTGTTGAGGTGCGGCTCCCGCGTCAGCAGGTAGCCGCGCTGCAGCGTGTGGCGGCGGCGGGGGGCTGCGGGCTCCATGGCGGGCGCGGGGCCGGGCGGCGGGGTCGGGCCGGGAGGCGCGGCGCGCGC